CATAAAACGATCATCAGAGTATATCATATACCATATGCACAGGTTGTATAAATATACCCATTATTTATAAACTCAATCAGACAAACATATCACTGATTTAATAATAATCAAAACTACGCAATGATTGTGCGCACTTAATGGTACGTACTGAATAATAGTTATGCTGAACGAATATAATTATGATTATGCTAAATCATAGTCATGAATGTATATCAATTTACCACATTGTATAAATGAATAACGAATTGTTCGAGCGTGAATTAAATATCATTTGCAACTCTTTAATTATCTAGTAAAAAGTGTATTTTGTTACATCACATAGTTACTCGCAATGGCGCACTCTAAGATTAGTTTTACCCGACCAGCCAGAAAAATACGTGCGCTGTGAGGTAATATTATAGGCCAGACGATAATCACTAGGTGTCTGTACTCAGTGTGATACGCTGAAGAAACTGTGCCACAGGTGCAGAGCGGTAGACACTTTGATGCGCTTTTTGTATTAAATGCTTATTTTTGGCAGGACAATTCCACATATGATCGACGAAAAAGCTATACCATGCCCCGGGAAATCATTGTAGTTGTTTTATAATTCGATCGAAGTGGCGATTAGTAAAAACGAATGTGAGATAAATGGCGAGAAATCGTAGATTGTATTGATGTGGTATAGTGATTTTAGTAGACGCTGTTATATGTTCATTGCATTGAAAAATGCCAGTTTTACGATGTCATTGAACATGATGTTTAAAAGTTGAAAATTTATTTGTTGATTTATTCACCCCTGCCGTTTACCTTTTTCATTCTCTTTAATTAAATGGTCAATAACATGTTGTTAAGCAACGAGTGAAAACTATTATGCGGGAAACATAACAACTTTTAGACGGTGTTAAGAAAATTAGATTGGTAAAACAATACACGCCAAAGCGCGGGAACACTTAAAACATATCACAGTGTGCGACTCGAGATACACAGCATAATCTCATCCATTTTCGTCATCATTTCTATTCTTCCCGTGAGGTCGATTTCATGAAATGTAATAACACGTCACGTCACGTCATGATAATATTACAAGTATGTCATCCATCCGTATACCCGGTCATGGACACTCAAAAATAGCTAATTATGCAAGTTTTTTTATATAATAATTTTAGAATATCGATACATTTCTTCATTTAATTTGTATTCTTATATTCGTTGACAAAACCACGGCAACTAAATGTGTGAAGTAGTAATAGTTGAAATTGTTCAATTCAATGTATTTGCCGAAACGCGCCGAAACATATGTTGGTTTAGAGACAGCGTGTGATGCATAATTCTCGAAAAAATAAATCGATGTATGCTATTTACCTGTTAAGATCAGATATCATGATACCCACAATACAGTGCTTTTCGCTTGGTAAATTATTGGAAAAAATGCAGTAGCCATGTAACTGTAGGTACGTTGAAACACACGTCACCTTAACTAAGAGATACAAACTGCATGAAGAAGATACAATAACACATGATTATATAATTTATTCGTTAAATGCATTCAGATACAAGTCTGATTGTCTGACAAATTTGACCACGTGTCTGCATTTTCTGTTCTTGTAATATCTCACAACGGACTATTTCTGTTCTTGTAAGTTCTTGTTGCGTGCTGTTTCTGCTTTTGTAATTTATCTTACGGATAACCATGAATTGTTTTCAATGATGTAAGTTTGGCTTCATACGCCAGTAAACTATACACATGCGTACTAATCGGCTGATATGATTGTACGACTTATGGGGAAGCATGATTTATGCCTAATTCATTAAATATTTGTATAGAGCAATTTACAGAAGAAAGATGTGAATGATAAACATATAATCATTCAACTAAATTCTACACTGCTTGTACTTATGTGTACGTGTGTATGATTGCATTCACATATATATATACTTGTTGTATTCGATAGATAAATTGAAACCTAACATAATAATGACATCCGAGTCCACTATGCGGAACACAAATAATTTAACATTTATACAAATTAAACATTTGTTTATTATTCTATTATATCTTCAAGATGAAATCACCTTAATTAACATCCGTAAAGTTCTTTTCTTCTTTTCCTCATTGTATTAAAATGCAAACAAACAAGTTTACTGCGATAAAATGCTGTTAGTTTATGTGTATTTCAATTGTGGGATGTAAGTTCTGCAACGTTCACGTTAAACTGGCGACAGTTACATTATAATGTAATATTACCACACACACACCCACACAGCTTTAGGCGTTTGATAACTGAATGCGAGTCACGAATTTAGCTACTTCGTGATTAGTTGATTTGTTGATATGATTGTCATGACCACCATGCAACGAACAGTGGACAATTACACTGGCACACATGTTTTAACATGATTGCAACCTAAAGCCCGTTTATTACAAACAGTTTTGTGTGCCAACGTCCTAGTCTTTTGAAATAACTTTATACTTGAACCAACTTTTTAGAATATTGCATTTTTGTAGTACTAATGACTATACTTAAATGTGATATGCATTTGTCATGGGCACGCCTATCCCGTGTGTATTAAATTCTATTATTCTGTCATACTGTGTACATACATCATTGTGATATATGAACATCGCGTTGATATGATAATAGATAAAATACGTAAGATAACAGGAAAAATAGTGTATAATTGTATGTCGATGCAACATACTATGATTCATTGATAACCTATAATCTATGAACACATTATTGACAATTGTAGTTATAACAGCTTTACAGAGTCAGTTAGTCTTGCAATTGAATATACTATTTTAAGAAGTGAGCAACGAGGCGGAGCCGAGTCGTTAGATGCAGATGATTCTATCATTTTCGTCAGGATGTAAAAACGATATCATCATACCAATGGTTAACTGCACAATGGAGATTTATGATATTCAGAAATTTATGTAAACTCTGCGTTAAATCAAAATTATAATTTGTTTAGGGAGTGTGACACGTTAGTTGAGTTTGTGGTGATTTCACTACACATTTTACCTTTCACAATCGAATGGTTATTTTTTGTAGAAATGAAATGATGGTTTTAAGTTAATATAATCATTAATTGGAAAACTGATGTACATGTAAGAATCAACAACAAACACCCCCTGGGTATTTTACAGCGCGCAAGGGTTTAACTTAACACAAGATAACCCTCTATTGGTTGATTGTATAATTGATATTTAGGCATGTGCGCTATGCGAATCAATCTTGAAATAGTGCAACACAAAAACAGCACGCAATAACTATGTCATGTGTATTGTAATGCGTGTCGTGTTCTTGTGAATGGATTAATCTCATTCCATAAAGAAATGTCACATTGCCGATTGTGTGGGTGTCAATCATGAAATATTTGACATTTGTGCAGTAAACAGTTATATATATATAGTCACGGTTATTATATATTTGGTGTACATGTCAAGCAAGCGATCGTCAAATTTATTATCGACCCATTAATCGTTGATATGTTAAAATGTACGAAATGTTGAATTTGATGTTTACATCTGTCATGCGTCAATATTTGACGGTACAATAATATGGCATGTCCTTTCATTTTGATGTTTATAATAAATGCAATATTCACTCACACGTTCACCGTATGTAAGCTGTATCTATCGTTGTGATCAACGTTCTAAACCAACGGGATATGGTATATCTGGCGAAATAAGGCCAAATGTGTTAATTGACGATGGCAGCGTTATTAACAAGCCACTGACCCCATTGACAAAAATACATAATATTTTAAGTTAAAAAGTCATGCTAAACGATTCCCTGCAGTCATGCAGCCATTTGCAGATGTCGTTACCTTACTCATAATGCCGGGCAAAACATACAATCATAAAAATGAAAATTTAACCACAGTGGAAGTAACTACCTCGCGGCGCTGTACAAACAAATAACGTAAGATAGATTGACGCTAGGCAGTTAGTTTATTTTTATGAACATTATGACAATAATATTTTATTGTCTGTGTAGTAACTCTAATTGCTACCATGCTCATTAAAGCATTGTAATTCTTGTAGAAGTCTACCTCAGATTATAAATGGTTATCACAGTGATTCTTTTGTCTCGCTTAACGCAACTCATGACTGTGGAATTATCACACGTGCACAGGGTTTGCAGTGTTAAATATTAAGATTTAACGGGTATACGCGGTCGGTAGCCAGTCCCGTTATGTTTTAACACCTACCTACCAATTTGTTTCCATTATGACGTTTTTTCAAGCAAACAAATCCATGTTTGCCGTTACGCATTATCGTAAGTTACAAAGTGAGACGATAAATGACCGGGTAGTCGGAAGAGTATCGTATGTGAAATAGTAGGCATGTTGGCATTTCAGACTGCATAAGTATTAGTTTGATTCATGAATGTGTCTAATAACTCCAAAAGTTTATTCATCGACGATTCACCAACGTTCATACATAAAATAGCAGAACGCAATATTAGTAAAATTTCAAATTGATGAAAATTAAGATTATTGAAGGACGTGGATGCCGGAAAGTCGGCAAATTAAAATCGTTAACAATACTGACTACGGCTATTATGGTGTTGACAGTACAGCGCTGACATATTGTCACATTTCAAATTTCCGCTGTCGAATTCTTATTAATATCTCGAATAATTGGCTCAGTACCTAAGAGACCAACAAGAGACTAAACGAGGAATGAACAGGTAGCGACGCCATCATGATGGTGTCACAGATATGGTGACATCATCAACATGGATGTTAATTCATTAATAATAATCATATTTCTGTTTGCCGTGGAGTAGCACTGGGTTGGTTGACGATGCGATCGACCTCCTGCAGGGAGAGCCGTATAATTAAAAACTAGGAAAGAGCGTCCGCTAGTTCAGTCGAGATAATCCTACGAAGGCAGTGAGGAGCGCAGGCGGTCACACTTGGGAATATTCGCTATTATCCACTGCGAACGTAGGAAATGAAGTGAATCTTTTCGGTTTGCGTTACATCAGGAAATACGTAGGATACAAGAGGGCGCTTTTGGCGATAAGCAAAGTTCAAATCGCTGGATTTAGAGTTATTCCAATTGAGTCGAAGGACAGTGGAAGACGTCTAACTCTGATTGGTTCTTCAAGTTCATATCTATAGTATTAAGCTTCACTTAACAAATATACTTTGTTGAATTCATCATAGTTGAAAAAAATGTTGTTCTCAGGGAAGTCATTCCAGGTACGTTCATACTTCACTGTATATAGGCAATTGTGTATGTATTTTTGTCCTGAAATATTGGGTTAATTTGACGATGTTTACCATCAACTGATGAATGAAGTACACCGTTTTTTATAAATCTGTCAGCATTTTGAAATTCAATGCGGCATTGTCCTGTCAACACTCAATTCAGATATACTCAGCAACTTCTTATCCTGTCACCGACATGCTTGAACTAACAACGCGATATTAAAGCGGATATTATTGCCATTGACCGTGATATAGTAAATGTACAGGCAAATACCAACCATTAAACAACGTCATTACGTCAATAATAAGAGATTTTTGTTATCTCTCAATTTGTTCATTATTTCGATTTCTAGCCGATTTTTAATCGAAAATGTTTGTGGCTCAGTGACGTGCCTCGGCAGATCGATTTCTAGAATTCGAATTTGCAAACCTGTTTCTTCATTCTTCACTTCTAGAACACATTCAGATTGTGTAATTACATCAGCGTCCTGCGGAGGGAAAACACCAGTATTGTTTCCTCTTTTCCAGTCAGTGACAACTTTAATTTACGATTGCAATTATCCGAGATTTAATCGTAATGGCTCGTTGCCTCAAACAATAACTATTATTGTCTTGAATATACCGCCCTGAGATATTGTTCATGCATCACGTCGATGTTAATCTTATCCATGAAATGTCATAATTAGTGTGCAGGCAAGTAACTGAAGCAGATGATATATTACGTAGACGGAATTATTAAGAGAGAGTCAGAATAAAATTGTAATAAACTGAGAAAACTGATCAGTTGTCTCCCCCGGTGTTTGATAAGACAATATTGACTTATGACATCGTGCATACATTTCATTAAGGGTAGACGCTGTATTTTGCGCCAAGGTAACATATTAAGCCGACAAAATCTAAAACCATGTAGCTATGTATCATAGCAATAAATATCTTACTCTAAAACCATAATCCACTTACGATATTACCATGTGAACGCATGTCACGTATAAAATAACTGAAATATACACAAATCGGACTATTAAAATGTTTCGTGGTTCCAAATTTTCTTCTCATGTTTTTAAAAGTAACACTGAAAAACCAATATTCCCGCGAGTTTGGCAATCGAGCAGTACGTTGGTGTTTAAAAAAACGTTTCTTGCAAAAATCTCAATAAATTAATTATTTAATAATAATTAACTGTTTACTGTTTTAACACATTCTCGATTTGCATGATATTCTTTAATTTAAAAACACGTGATCGCGGTTTCTTGTAAATGGTTGTTTAAACCCACTGATAGTAATGCTAGTAAATAGTGTGTTATATTAAATTAGTTTTCTGAAAAAATAATAAACCCGATACACCCCCTTTTCCCCGCCTGCGAAAATATATATTATATTTTCCATGACGTCACACGCTCGAATATTCTGTTCTGATTAGCTGAAACTATAGACGTTCGATTGTATATATTCGCGTTATACTGTGAATACGAAAAAGGCGCATGGATGTCACTAAACCGTTTCAATAAACGTCATTTTTGCAGATTAATCGGCACCTAAACCTACAGGAATATGTAGGAATGTCGTAATAGAATTAAACCACTCGAAATTACCCCGCAAATCTTTGACGCTCATTCCTATATGTCGCGCTCACACGGTATACCGCTATGCTGTTTTTCCTGAATTGTTTGAAATGTTCTGTTTATGTCTTCGTACAATTACTACAGCACAGTTTTATCAAACATACTTCAGGCTATTTATCATGACCGTAGATGTTTTATTCCCTTGAGTTGGTGCCACACTATGTATGTTGATACGATCGAAATACTTTCGGCCTGTAAGCAGTCTGTCAAATTCAATGCCATTTTTAACATGAAAATAAAATAATCATATATTATGGAAATTCTTGCTGTTTTTCACGATCGTTTCCAACAGTTTTGTTGTGACGTCATCGCATCGTTTCGTATTACTCACATGATCGGCCATAACTGAAATGTGATTCATAAGTCCACAAGTGTTTCAATAAAAAAAACATCTTAACACTTTTAAAACACAAAAATAATATTCAATTATGTGACAATTTTCAAAAACTGCAAATCAATTCACTACGGCGATAATTGGCCCAGCGGTCAAACGCTTTTTCTGAATCCACGTACATTACAATCAATTTTTATGAAACCAATTTTATAAGAAAGACTATCATAAGTGACAAAATAATCACAACCCATTTCTCATTCGCGTGGCATCGTATTAATTCGTAATTCCTCATGTATCTATATTTCTTACGTTCGTTTCCAAGTGACATTTTATGGTCTATATCGTCTTGCAAAACTCGCAAACATCAATTTCCGGCCTGTCATCAAATCACAATCGTGTCCAGATTGTTTACTTTGTCATTGTAATATTGAAACACTATTCGGAATATGACGAACTCCTGTATAAATCAATCAATCAAAAACGTATGAATAAAATGACATGTTTAAATTAGATTTCTAAAACGGCAGACAGAGAAACACATGCATGCGTGCATGCATGCATATCAGAGTGTCCAGACAAGGTTACCATCATCATCGTTATCACTGATTGATAGCATCAGTCTCTCGTTATCTATTTGCAATATATATATATATATATATATATATCATTTGCAACTGATATTGATACTCCTGATTCATATTTCACCACCACAATAAATTATTGCTTTGTTGTGAGGGAAAACATCAGACGCGCAATTATCAATTTTTTTTTTTAATTGTCAGTTGAATGAATTTTCTATTTCTGTAATGAGAAATTAAAAACTGCGCACGTACATCTTATCACGTATTGCACCATACGAAAAAACGAGTTCAATGTCAAAGTCGCTCATATTACTACATTATTATGTAAATCACTGCAAAGTGAAATACTAGCATGGTTGCAGAAAAGAATGCTATTTATAGAATCGGAATTGCATTCGACTAGCCGCTACAGTTATTTTCTTTATATTAGATCAAGGTAAATCACGGGGGAAAGCAAGTATGACTGATAAACAAATAAACGAGCAAATCACACAATGATTCTCTTTTTACAACGCTATAAACACAAAAGAATATAACCATATCACGGATGTTAATCAATATTACCAGCCTCGGCCTGTAAACGCGCTACATCGTCACACCGCGTGTACATGGATATGGAACCCACGAAACCTACACTGGGCGCGTAAAATACCCATTTTTAGACGACATTCGGACGCACGCTCTAAGATGTCAAGGTTATACACGTCTTTTATTCTTCATTTGCTTATATAATCTCTAATCACATTTATCGTCTAACGCACAGCATATTTAAAATAGCCTTCTGTAATAAACTCTACAACTGATCTGGTGCTGAAAATATTATTTAAATGAGGATAACGATTCGTATAATAGAATAATTTTACATATTTTAGGGGTGCGTTAGTTACGCCTTGTTGTCATTTTCTTCGTACATTCAATACTGCTCGAAAATTATCTTACACTATCAAGTGAGTAAGCACACTCTGATATATTTATAATAATAGCAAGCATAACATTTTAACGTTTCGCTCCACGTGTATTTATCTGGCGCCACACATTCATTTGGGTTAAATAAAGTTGCGGATTAAAACAATTGACAAAACGCGTTACGAATTACCCATAATACAACCTTGGTCGGATTTGTTTTTCCCCGCAGTAGCAACACACTGAGCTACATGTTTGAATTAATTATAATTATATCACTGTTTTCTTATCTTGTTGTCGAACAATGTATTATTTATTCATTTTTTGTATAGTTTATTTATTTTGGTGCTTCATCTTATGTTACATTGACTGCAGAGAATACTTACTTGATGTCGTGGATTTTCCATGTATATTTTGATTTGAATAATAATCATTATAGAGATAAAAATGGTAAACCAATGAGATAAGATCATTGTGCCATGGTAAAATGTCTGGTAACTTGTAATTGACTTCTTTTTATCTGTATTCGAGCAGGATGATGGAATTCTTTTTCGTCCGATGGACGTAAAGTTATTTACGATTTATTTCACATATAAATTAACATTTAATTATATATTATTTGCACAAGACTCGACTTACTTCAGTTTCAAAATCTCAATTATTACTGTGAGTCATGGCGTTCAACTAATGTCCAATACCCCTATCTAAGGACATGGCGATGGAGGATTGGTGATGAACAGCTTGATTTCAAAGTACTGGCTAGCTAGCCGTACGCCTTAAAGGGTGGCAGTCGTCGTGCCGCGTCCTGTTCGATATGGGACTCACAGCGACGTATACGTTGTTTATTTACATAAAATTCGAACACGCGCTGCGCGACGACCACCGCGCTTTAAACTAATATGTAAATAACTGAGAGTAGATCAATTGTAACTGGCCGTGAAATATGTTTCTAAACTATCGCGATCGACGTTATTCAGCAAGTCACGTGCCATCTACTCCTGTTGCTGGTATGCTTCCTCAGTTGAAGTGAACACATTATGTAAAATGCCATTCATATTTCAAATCGGGAATTCTCACCATTAAAGCGCAACGCAATCCGCACATTTCTTCTATGTCATATCAAATCAAATCTACTGTTAGTCGGATTACTCTCTTGACACTGTAAGTCGAAGTAATCATGACGGAGTTGACTGTTTTACGGACAATAAACATATCTTCATTGCCTCTCAGACTCCCAAGTGAGACGTCATATGCTCTCCCCAATGAGGGCGTAGTGTTTTCTTTCTACTTAATCAAGTAATCACGTCAAAATTCACTTATTGGATATGACTTTCTAGAGATGACTCGTTTCATGGATCAACATGTTTCTGTTGTGAAGGACTCTTCACACACCTCACTCTCTCTTGCTCACACAGGCTGGGATGCAAACTGCGTATACTTAGTCGAAACTGATATTAAACGGTTCGTGCCACCAGAGATGTGCCAAAGACGCCTGTAGAGATGGGGGCTTAGGGAAAACGAAACAATTATGCACCGACTTAACTACACACAACAAAGAGAAATTTTGATTACTAGTATTTTTCGTTCTAGATCAGGCAGTCAAGCGTATTACTATCCATATACATCATTATAATCCCCACGGTAGCTTGTGGGCAATTGCAACGCACTGTCATTACTTAGTGATTGTAGACAATCCCCTTGCACTGACTTTAGACAAGTCTCATAATTTGAGATTTAGCAAAGAGTAAAAAATAATGCGAAAACTGTTCAATAATGACTTGTTAAAATAAATAAACACACTATAGCTGATTTCAATAAAAAACAACGTATTTCATTACTTAGATCACGATTTACACAAACAACGACAACTTTCGCTCAATCACAAGACTGGTTACGAACCACATCGAGGTCACGACTCGGTTAGCCTTGCTCAACTGGTTGTTGACAAAATGCTGAACAGGCCACGCCTCCAACTGTGTCGTGCGTTCGGGCAAACCGTTAGGAATACCTAATTGGAGTCAATTTGTGTAGTTTTCTTGATTTATTCTGCAGATATCGGTAAAACGTAGGTAAGGCTTTGGCGAAATTTGAGGGAGCAACTAATATTCTTCAACCTGGTATTTTTTTTAGATTTTATTTTTCATTCTTTTCGTCTGTTTTTTCGAGTTTAAAAAATGTGAGCTGGCTGGAGCCTTCATCCCTTGTCTATTCCTTACACTAGATATCAGCTGATACCCCCCCCCCGCTCACTGAGACTGCGTACTACAGTTGATTATAGTTTTCCTGGGCTCCCTGTGGTTCGACCTATCCGTATTCCTTTCATTCAAGCCCTCATCCATCTCACGACTAGAACATGAAAGGACATTTATTATACCTTACAAATGAAACACAGTTTGCTAGTAGCGACAGCGATACACCGTTTTGTATATACTGGCGCTATTATAGCCGTTATATCTCAAGTGTTGTAGTATATAATGCCCCAAATGAATAGTCAATGCGATAAGGTGACAGCGAATGCGTTGTATTCTCTAAGGGGGTTACTCTTTCTGTTTTCCACATTATTACGGGGCTTACTATCTCGATATCTCTCAAAAAAAGATGAAACTGGCGACATCAACTTGAACAAGTGAATGTGTACCTTGCATAGGACTGAATAAACCACCTATTTTGTAATCTAGTAATCGGATCATCTCCGTAGAATTTCTTATACAATTCCCTCATGTGTTCTCCCGAGAACCTCCCAGAATGAATGTGCATACAACTGACATTACACTGGAGCGAGGGTATCGGGACAGGATTCTCAGGTGGGTAAAAGTGTAGTGTCCGGAGAATCGACCACTCACTGTTTGTCGAATTTATTTATATTACACGCATTGCCCCCCCCCCCTCGTCACCTCACGCCGATTTGATAAACAATTCGAACTTTAAGTTCGCATGCTCTAACTGTTTTCGTATAATTGTGAATTATTATTTAGATAACATTGAAAATACGAAAACTTAACATATTCATATTCCTGTACACGTTAGTGAAATGCATTACAACACTTACACTCTTGACCGCTTTGTTATCGGGGGATTCGGTGACGCGTATTACAACACTCAGGCATCTTGACCGCTTTGTTATGGGGGAATTCAGTGACGCGTATTACGACACTTAGGCCTCTTGACTGCTTTGTGACGTGTATTACAACACTGTGGCCATTGCACCTTTGTGTTCATTTTGCAATGAATTCAAAGGCGTCCAAAGTGTACTCAAAATATTAAAGGGCGGCAGTCGTCGCGCTGCTTCTTGTTCGATATGGGACTCGTAGCGCCGTATACAACGCGTGTAAAATACATTGTTTATTTACATGAAATTCAAACACGCGCTGCGTCATGACCACCGTGCTTTAATATGTATACATTTATACCAATCCAATCAGTCGAACATGATCGGGTAGTGCAAACCCCAGGTGCTGTTCACGGATGTAAGTCGGATGACGTACTCATGGTCGTGCAGTCGTTCAGATATTAAAATCGGGTCTGTGGGCCAGTGTCACCCAATGTCTGATTTCAATCTCACTCGCACGTTATCGTATACATAGTTTACGCCGATACAGGTTCAGTGATGAATGTTCAGCTTATTTTTATTTCGAAGCAAAAGGCCATTGGCCCAAAGAGCAAATACAATTTCATTTAATAGTATTAAGTATATACAATTTGTAAAAAAAAATCTACTCAGTGATGAATGGTCACAGAATAAGAAAACTTAAGTAGAACCCGTTGACATCATCTTACGTGGGATATATGACGTCGCTTGTAAAAAATGAAGTAATCATTCTTTCTAAATCAATTATCATTAAGAAGAAATCCCGTGAGTCTTATTTCTCAATTGACCGAGAAATTGCAAAGCTCATCAGCTCTTATTTGTTTTATTATCTATCCACTGGTAATCAATGCTGACATTTTCGGATTATAGAAAAAAATAAATTTAAAGACCGAACTGTCACGCTCCACGCTGTACAGTTAACCACGAGCATATCGCGTGAGTAGACATTTTAACTATGTTCCTTTAATAAGTGCCGTCTTAATTCATGCATGTGCGAATACTCATACGCAATGATACTACATGGTGTTTTATTCTTGCATATTGTACTGTTCAACCATAAGTGCCTTAACAACGTTCGTCACTTTATGTTGCTTAGTATATGCGTAGATTGAATTATGCGTATATAACTGCGGTGTAATCGCAAAACGAACAAGTACGCCCTCGTACGGTACAAGTAATTCCTCCGGTGAAGAAATTCTTAGCATATACATCAGATTATTTTGTTTCAACGCCGGATACATAGATCCCAATCTGATTAAAATCTGATGTAATGCT